ATGGTTGAAGGAAGAGACACGGTTGCAAGGCCTCAATGGCATGCATGTTCAGGAGTCCGTCTTCGCTGTCCTGTTACGCTTCTCTAAAACGGCGTGAATAATTACGATAACAATGTTGGTGGTTAGGGAATGGATTATGATGTCACAACCAATGACACTACCGAGGTGTTAAGGCTAATAAGGTTAACCCTAACGGCTGCGATCTTCCAGGCCCGGTTCCTTATGAGAAGTCTTGAGAAGGCCAAAGTGGTAGGAAGAATATATTCTGTACAGAATAAATGGGAGAACAAGCAATAGGAAATTGACTATAAGACGACCGCACAACCGCAGGCCAGCGTCTGAAGTGAGCTCTGCTTGGCAGTCGTCACATAAGGTCCTGTATGAGTCCGCCTGTGATTGACTGTTCCAGCGGCCGGAAGCAGCAAGCGTTCCTAAAAGTCCCTTCGACTTGATTTAGTCACGACAAGCGTTCACAAGTGCACTTCGTGTGCAGCTAGTCACTACGACACCACCATTACGCCTGTCCATATCTTCTGATGAACGATACGCGCCCAAAATCGTTTGACTGACTTCCTTGTCCACTACACAAGCTTAGTTATTTAGTATGTGAGGACTCATTTTCAAACCCCTTTGTCGTCTTGTTTATGGTGGAAATTGCTTATACGCTTTTTCCCTTCCTCGGCATGGCATGCGGACAGGAAGCGCTCGTAATACATGTGGCGTTGCACTGAAGTCAAAGAAAATTGGGCTAAGGGTGAAGGAGGGGGTTAGGGCTAAGAACAGTGATACGGTTATGGATTGCGTTAGAATTCGGGCACGGAGATATCAAGCTTTCCTGGAACTTAATGCAAATTCATTTTCATTGCGTTCGGGATGCTCCTATTCCAACGACCTATCGCGTGGTGTGATGGCTAATAAGGTTAACCCTAACGGCTGCGACCTTCCAGGCCAGGTCCCTTAGGAGAAGAAAGAAGTCATGGGAAGGCCTGAGTGATAGGGAGAGTGTATTCTGTACAGACGGAAAGTAGAATAGTTGGGAGGAAGTTTGACTCGCGGACTAGTGCATCCGTTCTCAAGACGGGTCGGATCCGGAATGTGGTCTAGCGGTAGTAATCCGGGCGGACATCGAAAGCCGCCTTTTTCTCGGTCGGCCTTGATGGTAATTGGTCAGACCCGACATCGCGCATTAGTGGGTCATAACGCGAGAGACCAGGTGCGTCGGGCAGCAGCTACCAGTACAGTCCTGCCGTGGAATACCATATAAGCAATTCCGACCTTTTTATGCCGCTCATAAGTATCGTGTAGACCATTCCATCCGCGCAGACTAAAATTTCGGAAACGAGGCTTACACTAAGGCCTCTTCGATCCAGGAACTCGCCACACCAATTGGCGAAGTGTGGACTTGGCTATTATATACACGCTGGAATTGACAAACAAAAGATCCATTATCAACCGTGTAAAATGGTCAACTTATTCAGCGTTACAGATACACCTGTAGTCATGTTGCTGAGACCGATAAACAGATGCACATGGACTAGACAAAAACATGCGTGTAAATACAAGCGAACATGTGTGTCCCAGGAAGCAATTG